ATGAATTTAGGAACAAAAGCTTTTTTATCCTATTGCTACCCTACATATCACTGTCTTTGGAGTTTATGGAAGTGTTTCTAAAGGCAGTTTCTATTCAAATATATCACAAAAGCCCAAAGAAGCCTTAGTAATACAGACTGGTTGGAATGGAAACCTAATTAGATAAAAGACTTGGCTGAAAGTCTCACCCATTTATTCAGGTAAAGCAGTCTGGTAGTTTCCTTCCTGGCAATGATACATACATTTGAGGAACAAAACTGAAAAGCTGATTCCATCCAAAGTCCTGGCTGTGAAAGTAAGGGGTTTTGTGGACTTGGCAATGTATAAAGGTTGCAGAAGGTCTTAATGGCTCAAAATATCTGTTTGAAGGACTTCTTGTTGGTACTCAAACTTGTGAAGTTATTCAAGAAGACTTCGTTGAAGTGCCACCTCAGTACCAGTAGAAGAGCTAAAAAATATGCCTGGGTCTAGTTCTTCACTTTGAAAAAGCAAAATTGGACTCTCTAGGAGTATATTCACTGGGGGATTTATTTTCTACTATCATGAGTGAGGATAACATTCCTGAGGAAGAATTCTTGAGCCAGGAAAATCTTGGCTCCATTAAAATATCTTTTTCCAAGGTCAGGAGTTTATTGCCTAGATATAACCAGAAGGCAAATTACCAATCTGGTCTCACAGTCCTTAGCTGACAAAATATGAAACTTGTAAATTGCTCAGGATATGAGGCTCCCCATAACAATAAAGACACTCAGTGTGCCTACCCACAGAACATCTCTCCTGTGTCCCAGGAGAAAGGTATCTAATGAATGAACAATTAAAGGAAGTCTCTTTGTTATACAACTCTGGTCTTTGCAAGCAGCAGAATCTCATATGTCATGAAGATGAGATACACATATGAGATACCATGTGGTATGAATCTAAGGAGAGTCTGGCCTCAGTGAAAATTAAAGGCAGTTGGAAGAGAAGAACAAAAAGACAGGAGGGAAAAGACAATATAAGCTTGAAGTGGCAATATGGTAGAAAGGTAGTGAAATTAAGGTTTTCATACATGGCTGTAGGCTTGTTATAGTGTGAAGCAACCTGGTGAAGCTCTTCCCTGATCCAAGACACTTAAGAGAAGCCAAGAAGAAGACAATACAATGTCTTTAAGACGCTCAGCAAAAATGCTCTGCAGATAAAAAAACCCATTTTCCAAGATGAAGGGACTGAGGTTGATATACCATCCATCCCAAATGGGCACAGGGAGGAGTGCTCCAAGAAGTTATATTTAATGCCAATAGAAGGTGCTTCCCATCTTTATGCAACCGTGCACCACCACCCATATAACAGTCTGTAGTGACATCAGAGTAGCCAATACCACCTAGGCACAGAATCTTCCCTATCTAGTCACAATTTGGCTCTCTGCCAGCCTCCCTCCACGATTCTCAATGGGAACTGAAAGTCAAGTTGACTCCCTGATACCACACTGGTGCACAGATGCAGCAGTTGCTTCCCTTTTCCCACCAGGGCTTTATTTGGGTTACAGAAAGATAAACTTTAGAAAAATGCTGGGAAATAAAAGAGATCTAGAAAGAGAAACATCAGGAGAAGACCAAAATTTTTATCAATATTACAGTATCAAAAGGATAAAACAGCAAATGATTTCTGGTGGTCAGACAAGATGAGAGAGAACTTCCCCAAAAGTGAAGAAGCATTTTATATAGGAGCAAATACAAAGTATGGGAAACAAGAGAGATGAAGGTAAAGGGGTGACAAAAATGTGAGAGGAACAAGGCATAGTGGGGAATGAAAATGTGACAGTGATATGAAGGGGGAGAGAGGATCAGATAATAGAAAAAAAAAAGAAAAACAAGACAACTATTTACAAAATAAGATAAGACAAAAGAGTGTGAAAGAAAATAACTAAGAAAGCAAAGTTTTAACAGCAGTAACAAAATGGGGTATTTTTAGGGAATGAATACACATGGCACACATTTTATTCTACTGCCTTTAAAGGTGAATGTAGGTGATGCTAAGTAATTCATTTGGGACAAGATGGGAATTTCTCAGCACTATCCACAGGAGGAAATAAAGAACACAGTAAGATCTAGAAAGTTTTCTACATGAACACTAGCATATGTTTAAGATATCCACAGCAAACTAGAAACCGACACAAAAGCAGTCACCATTTAACCACACTCCCCTGAGAAACTTTCAACGTAACATTCAGACACAGTGCCCACTGAGTATTTAAGAATGAAACTGAGGTACATCGAGTAATGAACCTGGTGGGTTTATTTTCAAGTTCTACCATACACCCAATCTACTCATTGAAGCTATGGGTGTTTGACAATCCAGCACTCACACATGCAGTTCCATGCTTCATGTTCCTCCAGATGAGATTTCAGCTGGAAAAAGACTGGGAAAGGTAAAGCACAAAGAATTGCCAGCAAAGAAATTCTGGGGTGATTGTTCCTTGCTTTTTCTTTTTAGTAGAAAGCATCCAAAGTGAATTCTGCTTTGGATAAAAGGGCTTAGTGAACAGCAGGCAGAAAAAAAAAGATAAAATTACGTACATCTCAGTATCATAGAGGGACACTATAAACAACTTTTGAGAAAGGCTTTTCCCCCTCCCTTTTAAATTTTTTTTTAAATTGTAACTTTTATGCATTGCTTTGCATAACCTGTGAAGGCTCACGTTCTTCAGAATTTCTTGCAAAGACTCAAACTTACTATGAAAAGCATCTATTTAAGAGAAGGGCCTCCCTTATGAGAATCTGCCAACATTGCCCAGACAATGGAGCCCCATCAAAAGCACTGATCTTCTCCTTCCATAATTCTACCAACATCCAGGGAAACTGCATGGTCTCATTTCTCAAACAGATGAAGTGAAATGTAAAGGAGGGGGAGGAATAAGCAGAGCACCTTCCCAAGGAGCAGCTGAACGAACTTGTTGCATTATGGCATAGAGAAGAAAGTTAAAGTTCACTTCACTTCCCTCACCAAGCAAAGTGGAAAGTGTGAGAGAAATTGTTAATTTATCTCACCTATGGCACACTACCCACAGACAGCATATTGTGACTTCAGAAATCCACACAATATTTCCCCAGAATATAATTCAAAGCCCTATCTGATGACTGACATTTACTTACAACTTTTATTATTTTCCATTTCACAAAAAACTGTTCTAAGAAACGAATCTGCATTCTTTATAGCTTCACTCCCACAGGTAAAATTATCATCTAAATTCCTTTCATCTCTAGTATGATCTGTTCCACTACACTGTCTTCAAATTACACCTTGCCAAATTTCTAAAGGCAAAAGAATTGCCCAAGTAAGCAATCCAGAAAATGGTTAAAAACTTTTCAAATATTATTTTGAGATTGAAAATAGCCTGTTTTTCATTTTTACCACTACAAAGCAACATTTGTGAGTGATGCTTTTTCCTATTTAGGTGATGACCAGTAAATTCTGTGAGTCATTATAAAACACCAGGTGGGTCAAAAGCTTTCATGATACATCTTTTCTTAAGAGCCTCTATGAAACATTCATACATTGATCCTTTTGCCTTCTGATCACTGGTTTCACAGATTAGCACACCCAGTTAAATAAATGCTGTGCTCAAGTTAAGGGCCAAACATGAAGGTAACTTGAAAGTGTTTCAGCAGCCTGTAAAAGGAGGCATCTTACTGATGTTCAAACAGTGTTCCTGCATTTTAGTCAAACCCCTCCACCTTTTTAAAGAATTCTATTTGAAGTCAAACATGAAAAGACATTTTTCCACTTTCATTGTTCATAGCCTAGGGAAAGGACAAGATGAAAAGAAAACGTTATCAACAGTTCTTTTATCATTTACCATTCTGAACTTATTTACCACTTTTTGTAATTAAAGATATATTAGAAAGACTGTCCTTCATAACTGGAAATGGCTTCTTTCTCATGTGTGAAGAAACCTGGCTGCATTCTTCCCAGCTGCTTGTAGCCCAACATCAAGTTTCATTTCATTTTCTATTACAATGGCAACATTCAAGAAATGAGTAACTTCTAGTTCAGTTCGTATGTTAAAACTGATTAGTGTTTTAATAGGAATAGAGAAAAGTATATTAGAAGTCTCTGCATGAGGAGTAATTCCAACTTATTGAAATGTTAAGGAAACAAGAAAAACAGAATGATGTTATCAGGGACTACAAACAAAGATTCATACTCCAGTTGCAGGCCAAAGCTTTATACCCTCACACCTCTAGTTCAGCACTAAGGGTAACACAGCTATAGCTGTTTGCACTACACTACCCCAAACACAAGAAGTTGTGTATCAGTACAGAGCTGTGTTTCAGGCAAAGAAAACTCAGTGAAGACAGTGAACACATCTAAGATACAGGAATTGAGACATCACCTGACTGTTTTGCTGCCCTATAACACAAAGTCTGAGAATATCTGGATTTGTTAGTTTGTATAAAACAGAGAAAATAAAAAAACTTAGTTATTCTGTTCAACAAGAAAATAAACCCAGAGGATTAAACACGGCAAACAGAAAGTCACTTGTGGTTTACTTCTGTAAGTTAGAGAATTTAATTTCTGCCCTTAAGAAGCAACCTATACACCTACAAACAAAGGAATTTCATAGAAAATTTTCAACCTCTCTGAAAAGGCTGCTAACCAGACAGATACTCAGAAGAGTGAGAAGCATTTTGACTTCCTAACTCTACACAATGGCCTTCATTAAAGACCACCAAGAAGCAATAACTTTACCTTTCAGTGTCATTTTTCGTGACAGAATGCCAGGAGTACTGATGTCCCCACAAGATTGTCTGACATTCTGCTCACACCTTGTGAATCAGTTTTAACATATAAAGCTATTAAACCACTTAAATGGCTATCACCATTACAACAGTGTATGAAAGACTGATGGAGAACAATTTAAAAATACATTACCTTTAAGAAACAGGAACAATGCAAGATCTATGAACTAAAAAAGTGTATTTCTTATAACAACAGAATCCTTAAAGAATGTATAACAATACCTGCTGCTGTCTTTGCCGCCTCATTTGGGCAACCTGAGACATCATGATTTGACGATCCAGGAACTCCATTCTCTGCTGCCTCTGGATGTCAACTGTTGCTCCCATTCCCACTCGAACTTCATTTGTTGGCTCCGCAGATGAGAAGACTGGTTCAAGAGTCCAAGAAAATATCTTTGCTACCCATCTGGGTACACAAAGAATTCGATGAACTTTTAAGATGCTGCTGTTGTAGCAAATCCCAGAAATCTAAAATCAAAAACGAAATGTTAAAAAAACTCCTGAAAACAAAAAAAATCTTAAATACACCACATTTGCATTGAATTTGGCTGCAGGTAACAGTTGTCTTTCTGGTTTTTAAAGCATTTTACTGTATTTACTCACAGTTCTCACAGTTCTCAGTCAAGAATCAGAGAATGAACAGGGGATTTCTTTACTTCCCTACAGCTACAAAGTATTGTTTTTTTAAATATGCGTGGTGCATTGCCTGTGACTCATAAAGTTGCTTGGAGTTTTTTGTTTGTTTCGGAATTTGAGCACAAGCCAAGTGACCCTTTCTAAAACTGGTCAAAATTAAAATAAAATTTTAATTTCTAGCAAAAGAGCTGGTCAGGGTATGCTGCATACTGACCTGAGGAGATTAAGACTGCTTTTGAGGATGCTGAAGCACTCTAAACACTCCTTCAAAAAAACCCAAACCCCCTTAAGGCTTCTGTCCCCACCACCCGAGTCTCTCCTAGTAAAAGTAAAAGCAAACCAGTGGAACTGAAGTTAAGTCTAAGACCAGGCATACAATCATTCCAAAATAAGCCCATTTACCTTACAGGAGGGGTAAAAAAAACATTTAAAAACCAATTCATTAAAAACTCTGATACTGAAAAAACCCGTTTTTGTGAGGTCCTTCTACCCATAAGAAAAAAACACATTCCCTGTGTTCGTGCTTGCCTTGGGGCTTTATTTCATTTCATACTCCACAGGACAAAAAGAAATTCACATGCCTCATAAATGGATTTACAGTCATCACTCAGCAATTATTTTGAATGCCATTGTGAAGCCACAGGACTTGAGCCCAAAGCAATCCATCTGCATTCTGTTTTATGCCACATTTCAGCATTTGTGACTCTTTATTGTCTGTTATGCCACAAGAATGATGCTGTCATGGCACAGTGAAATGAGCAGGAAGAGATCTAAACCTCAAAAATCTGTAAACATACCCCAGAAATTAAATTATGCTAAAAGCAATGTAGAAACTATGCATCTGATGTATTTATTATTTATTTATTTGGGGCCATTTGTCATATCTCACTGACCTTTGTATAACGATACTAAAGGATTGCTGAGTATACCAAGGGAGACAATATAGGAAAAAACAACATTCTTTAGGAGGGGGAATATTTTTCAGATTATTAACAAGGTTATTGTTAAATATCCAATGAGATAGTGAGACCTTCCTGCTTTTGGAAACAATGATTTTTGTTTTATTCTACTTTCATTTTTATGACTCAGGGTTGGATGTAACACCAAGCATGGGCTGTCACTCTAAAATGAGAAAGAACAGTTTTAAACTACTATTAACCTCTTCAGTCTTTCAGTCGTGCTATGAGAAAGGAGGTAAATGCTATAAAGGCCATAATCACATCAGAGTAAAGGCTGCCTTTAATAAAAATTTTCTATATTCAAAGGAAGGTCCTAACTGGACAGGGCACTGTAACAGAAACTTTTTCATGACCTTAGATATTCTGTCTTCAACTCTATTGAAACTGTTCCAGATGACTGTAAACTCATGACTAAAACCTGTGCACATCAACTGGAAACTAAGATATAGCTATAATCGCCAAAGAATAAGAGGAAGAAAATTCGTATCACTTCTGCAATTCCCCTGGTATGTACTATTTGAGGTGTCTGCCTAGCAAGAAGGCCCCTCAGAAAGTAACACCCTGGTGAAGGTCCTGAAGGAGTTAGGTAGATAGGCCCCTCACTCAAGAAAACCTAGATTGCACAGTAACTGAGAAAGCAGTTTTTGAGGAGCGAGAATTACTGAACTAGATTGCAAATATTACATACACATTTAATTTGCCGTTTTCTTCAATGCAAAATGCACAACCAGCACCAGAGCCTAGAAATTATCTTCCTTCCTCCCACCTTGTTAGGTGTAGGTATAAGTAGTATCATTCGGCTATAGAGCCAGGACCCGTCTTTTGTTCCAGGGATTCTGCACACCTGATTGAGGTATTAACTGGCAGGGAAAGAAGTCCCACTCAAAATACTTTGTTCAACATCACACCAACATTCCTTCCCTTCTCTCAAATGTCCCTCTAGATACTGATCTATGTTCTCTCTTACTACCTTAGAAAAGGTCTAATGTTTTCAAAAATCTTGAACAGGTTCAAAAAGTCACAAGAACAAAACAAAGCAAGTGGTGATAGGAAAATCTACATCTCTCTGAATGTATGACAAACCTTGACACGTGTCTGAACATATTAACCACAAGAATCATTATTTATCAAGTCAAGATAGAAAATAGAGCAATAACAGCAGCCTATCTTTGGTGCCAGTACTTTGGAACTTGTTTGTCACAGAAGGGAAGGCATACTGCAAGCACCAATTAGCAGCTGCATCAGTAAAAGTATTCTTGCATATTTCTTAGCGGAGATGGCTGGACATAGAATCATTTTGGTTGGAAAAAACCTTTAAGATCATCAATCCAGTTGTTAACCCTGTACTGCCAAGTCCACCACGTCCTTAAGTGCCACATCTACATGTCTTTTAAACACTTACAGAGATGGTGACTCAACCTCTTTCTGCTCTGGGCAGCCTGCTCCAGCGCTTGACAAACCTTTTGGTGAGTAATTTTTCCTAATATTCAATCTAAACCTTCCCTGACACAACTTAAAGGACATTTCCTTTTATCTTACTTGGAAAAAGAGGTTGACCTTCACCTCCTCACAATCTCCTTTTAGGTAGTTGTAGAGAGCCAGTCATTGCAGAGCACTTAATCGGAAGAAAAGTCTTTATAAGGCTAAAAGTTTATGGACATGCTAAAATGAAGAGCTATTATATGGAAGTATAAGAAACTTTGAAACACTGTGGTCAGTTATAACAAATTTTCAATAAGTTTCAACTAGTGAGGACGAGATAGCTTTTTCCATATTTCCAATAAACCCAGAATGGAGACATTTGTAGTTAAAAAAGGTCTCGTGATTCAGTCTGGCTCAGTGTCATACTCTCATCTTAATGTAAAGTATTTCCAAAGAACTTCCTCTACAGCTGGTTCATATGCAGAACTTGATAGATAGAATTTTAAAAAACATAAACTCTGACAAAATATAAAGCAACTTTATACAAAGCTGTTTTTGTTACTGACATTGAGTGAATTCTAGTGTTAAGACGCAAAGCAACACTGTTTATTCAATGAAGATAAGATGATCTGGTTACATGCTAACTTCAGCACTGTACATCAGATTAAAGGGCTACTTCCCCCAAACAGAGGAGCCTTCACTGTATTTCAGCCTCCAAAAGACACCACAAAAAGACGTTGTGGTTATGTTCACACTGTTAAAATGGAGAATTTGTGGCTGGCAACATAAGGTGCATCTTAATTTCTGTTAGTCACAGCATCATCCACCATATTCTGTGTGGCACAGTGCTAAGAAGAGGATGCTGGAAACTCTCTGGCATACTGCAGAATAAAAGTATGCTTATATATTTCCAGTATCTTAACACCTTGGCTTACTACTGGCTCTTCACATGTAGTTTCCTAACCTCCTAGATAACCCCCACTGTATAAAGCCTAACTTCCCTCACGTCCTTCCAAAGTTATGCATTTTTAAGAAAAAGGAAGTATATATAGTTTCTCCACACATTAGGTAAATCAAACATGGAAGCTCTCCAATATTTTACATTGCAGAGACACATATGCTCCACAAGTAGCCAGAGTAGTATTTCAAATGTAAATGTTTAAATTCACTGTACTTGATTAACACCAAAAAATTGAAATCAAACAGAAAAATAGTACACAGACTGGTGTAGAAAATGATGTTGAAAATTATTTTAACTAACAGAACTTGACATCAAATACTCAATTATTCTGTTCTGAAAAACGTAAATACATTCATCATAAGTACTCAAGATGTGACTATTTTCAGATACCAACAAATAAAGAGGAAATAGTTTTCTTAAGGTGAAGTGACATTTTTATACCTGTTTTATCTGCCTAATCCTTAGTATGTTCTGAATTCTATACAACTAGAATCAAAACATGGGTTGAGATTTGTGTCAGGATTCTGTATTTATCTTCTTTAGGGGAATCATTTCTCAAACCAAGAGGAATTGTGTGAAAACCACCCAAGAAACAAAACTACTCAACAAATAAACCTAGTACATATGTATTTTCAACTTCTGTTACAATTCTAACAGATTATTCTGTTTGGGCTTCCTTTTTGAAAATTGTTGCAAACACTATAAATAGCCTTTTGCAAGTTACCTTGAGAGAAAAATAAGATTATAGTGATAATAAAATCTTTTTCTTCAATTTTGTTTCCAGTTGATTTGGCTCATAAATTTTTCATATACCTTGAAACATTTTTCTTCAGAGTTCATCACTGCTTTGCTGGTCAGATGGAATCATTATCAGCTAAAAAACATGGTGTATGTGTAAGCATGGCTGTACTGCCATTTAAGCACAGTCCAACTATTCTTAACTTGTACTTGTGTCCTAAGCATAGGTTCCATTGGTCCCTGCCAGTATTTTGTAGGTGATGATTACCATGTTGTTAATCAAATCTCTTCAATTAAAAGATGAGGATTTGATTAATCTGACCCAACATAGATATCTGTAATTTAAAAGCCTACTTAAGAGTTGGTTGTTTAAAGCTGGTGTCATAGTTAACAGAGAGAAATGGGCACTCTTAGATGTGAGTCATCCTTTGGCAGATGTCTCCAAAGCACATACACAGCTGAATTACTCTGATGAAGTCCCTCTCTGAAAAATGTTAACACTGCTGCCAAAAAAGTGTATGTTGACAGAACAATCTAATTTCTAATGAACCACTTGGTATAGTTGACCAAATAGACCACATTTTGGACACGCAAACTCTTCCTAAGAGAGAAATTTAAAAGTGAATTACAAACTGAAAACCAATATCCATTTTTCTACAGAAGCCACAGATATTAAAGAAAAAGTACCTTATGACACATTATTACCTTTCCCTGTCCTTTCTCACTACTTTCTCCTTCTTCCAGAGTTGGAA